TTGCATGGTATAAAAGTAACCAACGGCAGCCTGCAGGCTAAATCAGGACCGCAGACAGGTTTTGTTTGGCCCACACATCTCCTGGCTGAACAAGCCCTAGTAGGATTGATCAGGTTACAGGGCGGGTGAGACTGAAGGCACAGAATTGGCCTTCATTCCCTTTGGTTGACAAACCAGAGAGATGTACTCAGGCAATGCACCAGACCAAGGATACAAGTGGCCACAGCTCCCTGGGGTACACTCTGTCCCTTAGAGCATAGACTCACCTGCAACTCCAAAGTCTCAGCAGCCTGTACAGAGTGAGGGTGGGAACACCAGAATGCCCTTTTTATCCATGCGAGGACCCAGGGGATGGGGAGGAGGGACGAGGGGATAGATAGCAAGTTTATTCAAACTGTACATTCTTCAGGTCTCACCATGGCCACACAAGAACATCTACAAGTCAGAAATTTTGTTTAAATTTTAAAATCCTGATTTCTGTTAAAAAATCCATAGATCTGACAGCATCAAGACTGTACTCTCTCATGGCAAGGGACTCAGCTTTCCCCTGTGGCCAAAGTATAAACTCTCTCCAGTTTGCTGCACTCCCCAATGCATCACTTCCATTACCCGCCTTGCTCCTGTAGTCACTTGAGTCCCTAACTTCTAGAAACTTTGAATAATCCTGTACTATTCTATTACCTTATGTCAGTGTTTTTCAACCTTTTTTGGGCAAAGGCACACTTGTTTCATGAAAAAAATCACGAGGCACACCACCATTAGAAAATGTTAAAAAATTTAACTCTGTGCCTATATTGACTATATATAAAGTAATTCTCTTGAATAGGAATCAAATAAACACAAAGAAAGTATTTTATAATTACTTTATTATGAAATATTAAGTAAACAAAATAGTGAAAAATTATAAAATTCTTGTCTTGTCTGCACCTACGGCACACCAGGCAACATCTCGCGGCACACTAGTGTGCCGCGGAACAGCGGTTGAAAAACGCTGCCTTATGTGATGGTGTCGCCCCCACCCTGGTGAACAAGGTGAGATCCAGAGAGGTAATGGACCTCAGTGGGTCACACAGCTGGCAGCAGATGCAAGAGGTGGCTGCCAGCCCCGATTGCTCCTCAGGAGCAGGGGAGAGATGGAGAAGCCCTGAGGGGTGACTGGAGCCAGCAGCCATGGCTTGCACCTGCTGATGGTGCTGAGTGATTGTGCTGAGTGATTGGGGCTGGCAGCAGCAAGTGCAAGTGCCAAGAGGGACCACAACGCATGGGAGCAAATAATTTTCAGTAACCACCAGAGGAACACCCTGATGATAGTAACCAGCACCCCACCTTGGTCTGGTACCCTGCTCACTTGCCCAACCATCCCACCACAGCTAACACCCACCATGTTCCAGGCTCTGCTACCTACTGCTGACGCCCTCCATGTTCCACGTGTGCCCCTGGTGGTCAGCGCCTGTCATAGTGACCAGTTTGTTCCATTGTATATTAGGGTTTTATATATATATATAGTTTATCTTCCTTGGAGACATGTCTATTCAGAATCTTTGTCCATTTTTTTGTTGTTAAATTTTAAGAGTTCTTTGTATATTTTAACACAAGTTTCTCATCAGGTATGGTTCCTAATTATTTTCACTTTCTTAATGGATAGTATCCTTTGAAGCACAAAATTAATTTTCATAAAGTACAATTTATCACATTTATTTTTGTTGCTACTTGTGCTTTGATGATACATCCAGTAAGTGTTGAGGGCACCTAAAAGGAATCAGCTTCACATCTTATTCATGCCCACTAATACCATCTGGAAAGTCATAAAGAGCTTTTAGTTATTTGGCTCGAGACAAAGAAAAAAATTAATTTTATTATGAAATATTTAAGATATACATAAAGGTAGAAAGAACAACATACATCTGTGTCCCCATTACCCAACTTAAGAAAAGTTTGTCAGTAAAGTCCCTGTGTCCCCTTCCTATCTCTACTTTGGAGGCAGGCATTTATCCTAAAATTGGTGTTTATTATTCTCATGTATTTCTTTATATTCTTACTACATGTGTATTTACTCTTTATCAAGAAATAAATTTCATATAATAGCATCATGTAATTATTATCTGCCACTGCTTTCTTCCACATTGTTGAGATTTGTCCATGTTCATTAACTTCCACAGTAGCTGAACATTGTATAAATACATTGTTTTATCTATCCAGGCGTCTTCAAACTACGGCCCGCGGGCCACATGCGGCCCGCAGAGGAGTCTGATCCGGCCCGCCAGGTTTTTTGGGCAGTGAGCGCAGCCGAGGTGTTACAGTAGGAATTAGTAGTTCATATAGTCCGGCCCTCCAGCTCTCTGAGGGACCGTGATCTGGCCCCCACTTTAAAAAGTTTGAGGACCCCTGAATGGATACCCATGCTGACATAGCTAAGAACTGAGGAAATGATGCTAAACATTTTTGAGCACATAAAAAAAATATATGGAAAGCCCTAGAACCATGGCTTTCCATATATTTTTTATTGAAGCCCACAGTAAATAATACATGTCTGTGTGTAGATGTATATTTAGTATATAACAAAAGCTTCACGTGACATTGTCTCCTACTATGTTTTATGTTGCTATAGTTCCTTAAGTGTTTAAACTAAAGATCCTTTATAGCCCTAGCCATTTTGGCTAAGTGGATAAGAGCATCAGCCTATGGACTGAAGGGTCCCAGGTTCTATTCTGGTCAAGGGCACATACCTAGGTTGCAGACTAGATCCCTGGCCCTGGTCAGGGCGAGTGCGGGAGGCAACTAATCAATGTGTCTCTCTCACATCAAACATCTGTCTGTATCCCTCTTCTGCCCTCTCTAAAAGTCAATGGAAAATATGCTTGGGTGAGGATTAACAACAAAAATAAAGATGGTTTATAGACACTGAGTTGATTTCATGCCTTCTCTTATCTATGCTATCATCACAGTTTAAAAGCTGCTCAAGATTATCATTCCAAGGAGTGGAACTGCTGGGTCATGGAGTATCTTAGCTTGGGTTGCCCTAACAAAACACTAAGAACGTGTGGTTTAAGCAACAGACATATATATATATATATATATATTTTTTTTTTTTTTTTTTTTCCAGTTCTAGAGGCTGAAAGCTAGAGATCAGGGTGCTAAGCATGGCTGGGTTCAGGTGAAAGTCCTCTTCCTGTCTTACAGGCCTTCTTACTTTGTCTTCCCATTAAAAACTGCCCACCCCCCTTAAAAATAAAAAAAATAAAAAAGACTCCTCTTCTTGTACTAGCATTAATCCCATCATGGGGGCTTCACCCTTATGGTCTCACCTACATGTAATTCCTCCCAAGGCCACACCTCCATTGGGGAGTAGGACTTTTTAACATATAAATGGGGGAGGGGTGTGAAATATTCAGTCCATAGCTTGAAGTATACACTAAATAATTCCACTCCATCCTAAAATAGTTGTAGGGAGTTATGCTCACAAAAAGACAAGCAAATGGTCACTGTTCTGCCTCCTGGATGGATTTGAACATACCCCCATCTGATTCTGCCTGTGTGAAATGGAGTGCATTTCCATAATGAGCCCAAGCATCAGTCCTATGTTTACTGGTCATCTATATTTTCTTTTTCCATAAACTATGAGAAATGGAATCTACCTACAGAGAGTTTCCATGGCCATTCCAAAGCCTGCGCTGGAACGCTTACTCGGGTGTGTGGTTCTGGTGTTTCATCTGCAGGGAGAAAAGGGGGCCAATCAAACATTACCTTCTCAGGAACACTTTGTTTCCAGGCCAGCGTGAGTAGAATCAGCAGGGAAAGAAGAAAACAAAGGTATAGAGGTTTTGTTTTTCTTACAGCTAAAAAGCCCTAATTTGAACCACAAGGGGAAAAAAAGTCTTCTCTTGTGAAGTCTTGCTATATAAATCTGAATAAGCTGTTCTGTTCTCAGTCTTCCAATCTGCACAATTAGGCTAACAATCTGTACCACTTCTTACCCCCATGTGGAAATTTTGAAATAAACATTATTTTAAAACTTTGAAAATAAAGAGTTTGTAGAAATTCAAAGTTCTGTTAGCGTTAGTCATCCAATGCCTTCCAAAAGCTCAAGTGAGAAGATAGAACTGTAGTCCTCTGAACAGCTTTTTGGAATAAGCAATTCTCCTGAATTCCTGCCTAAAAAGCCCGATGGCTCTGCAGAACAATGAATTATCTCCTAGACAATTATATCCTATCCACGGCCCTATATTTTAGTCTCAGAGAAGAAATAATTCATTTTACAGGCACAGAAATCCAATCTGTCAGGGGTCAGAAGGCCTTTCTGGAGCCTCCTGTTCCCTGGTTCAGGCTTCTTATACATTAACAACCCCACTCTCTGAGTCTGATCCCCCTCATGCTGCAGGTGCCAAGACCCATCCTAAAAATTCTTAGGAACACTAAGAGATACAGGAGTATATGTTTTCATAAATTTAAGTTCCTCATTCCCCTTTTCGTGAAATTACAAAAGCAATCAGATGTTAATATGGTAGCTCCTATAATTTTGATAACCAAATAAAAAATCTGAAAATAGAACCAAATTAGTGCAGTAATTTTATTTAGGCTATTTCTGAAACACCCTGTATTCGCTTCAATGTTCAAGCACGTGGAAAGTGCATGCAGTAACCGTGTCTTACCCTGGTGCTCTGGCCTCTGGGAAGTAACTGTCAGCTGAATTTTATTCCCAGGAACAAAGGTGCCTAGCACTGGGGAGTCTTCAGCCCTCTTTGAAAGCTCGTGGGCAGGGAGAATAGGAAAGCTAATGCAAAGCTATTTTTATCTAGATCTAACATACCAAAGGCCACTTGCAAAACATTTTGGAAGCAGGATACAGTTACTGCTTGGAAATATCAGGCATCTTATAACAGTAAGCTCTGTTGACAAAATATAATCCACTTTCACATCCAAAAGCTAATTAGGGAGCTGCTCCAGGCACCATCTAATTAACTGAAGCATATATAGGAAAAAAAAATCCTTAGAAATTATCATTGTTTAAATACACTCTATTTTATTTTTGTCTTAAAATAGTTTAACCTTTATGCTACAGACTTATTTCAAAAAAAACAGAAAATCTTATCTTGCACCAAAAAATATATATATAACACTCTGTTTTATTATTATTTTTTTCTCCGAAGACCATTAAATACTAAATGGAAACAAAAACTAAATATGAATGTAAAGAAGAACCAAATTTTGTTTTAAAAACTAGAGTTGCACATTTTAAAAGATAATTCTAAGCAATGATTTGTCGTCACTGCATCAAGTTCACACTCACACTCCAGCAACAGCAGATCTGTTAACCACCAAGTGCATTGATTCCTAGCCATACAATGGCTAACATTTCATTTTCACGGTAAGAGGAGCAAAAGGCTTCAATGACCTTTGTACTCTTTTTAAAAAAACAAAAACAAAACAACAACAAAAATATTTCCTAGTTATCCAGTGACTTTTTTAAAGATTACTACCCTTTAAAGTTTGTTAAAGAATAGGTACATAGTGTTTTAAATAAAATGAAAAAATACAACAGCATTGGACTAAAATATGTGATTATTTTAAACAAACAGTGCACAATCTGAGGAAGTTTGGTTAGGGTGCAATCATTTTTATATATACATGGAAGTCACATCATACACATACTGGAAAACAGGGATTAGGGCTTTTTGCCTTAAAAAAAAAAAAAAAAAGTTAAACTAAAAGACAAAATTGTGTCCCCAGCTTTTTCAAAAACTTTGTGACACAGTACAAAAAAGCAGGCAACAAATTCATTTTGAAGTTACCTATGGTGCTAATCTGCTCAAAGTAACAATGAACAATTGACTAAATTAGCAAATCAGACAGTTCATATTCACAACTGATAATAACAACAGTTTATGGGATGCTCAATTGTAAAGGATAATGGAGAGTCCATTCAGTCTGGCTCCTTCCAACAAAACGAAAGGACAACTACAGTGAGCAGCAATTACATGTTACAGGCAGTCGTGATGATGTAATAAATAGCTAGTTACTGCTCTGTGGTTTCAAACTGGATGGAGAGGAGACTTAACCAAATTAGTGCCATAAACAGTCTGTGACCCAAGCACACCATTTAGCAGAGATATTATTTTGAATGGACAATGTTCTATGAAGCATAAAAAGTATTTATGCTACCAAATGCAAAATTTTGGTTAAAAAAGATCACCTTATAAGAAATTTCAAATGTCACAGTTGTTGTTTACCACAGAATTTTGTCATTAATATCTTGCCAGAAACTACATCCCTGCTCTACTGGATCTGGCAATGAAAGAGGAGTTGAAGCATAGTCTCTCTATTGTTAATAGGTGGGAAAGTTCCAAACTAGGAGGAAGAAAAGATGACTGTCTCTACCATCCCTTCTCCTCTCCTTTTTTGCATCTTAATTTCTAAATCTCTGTTCTGGTGCATCAACTCAGGAGGCCGGGTGCTGGAAGAGGCACAGGTGAGGGCAAAGTGCAGCCTGCTATAAAGCAAAGGCCAGAAAAAGCTTGGTTACAACTTCACTCTGCTCTCAATCTGCAGTGCACACAGCACACTCAAAGAATTCTCTTTAGAGAATGACTATTAGGAGCTAAAGAAAATATGTCATGGAAAATCACCTGCTGTATAGAACTGGACAAACATATTAATATGAGTATGTAATGCAAAATATTCTTTAAAACTGAGCTCTGCCCTGATATTGGGGACAAAATAAGCTGCAAAAACTTCCAAGTCAAATAATCCATTCTATTCTTTTCTAATGATTTTCCTGGAACACACAGGCCAGAAACTGTACATTTCTGCTTTGTCTAGTATTTTAATTCAAGTCACAAACAACGTGTAACAGTAAAATTTAATAAATTAATCCTAAAGTAAAATGTGAAGTGAATCTGCAGAAGGTCCTATTTCACTCTGGCCTCTGGGTCTTTGGTTTTTGTCTAGAACTGTAGCCATGTGAGAGACTTGAGATATGAGGCTAAAACTGGAAGTTAGTGATCTTTTAAAGGCTTGATCTATTAAGAGTAAGATTGACAGAAAAATAAAAAGTTGATGAAGAACAGAGGCCAGATCAAATGAGACATCAGAGAAGCTCGAAGAACACATGCTTAAAGACACTCCCAGGAAAGAGGTGCATGGAAGTAAGGCAGCAGAAAGAAGGGTAAAGGAACAATTGAGTCTTTCAAAACAGGCAGGTGGAGCCAGGCCGGTGGGGTCTTCGGGTGCATGCACACACAGGGGGTATCTCATTTATCTCAGCGGCCCCACAGCACCCAACCTGCGAGTGCCTTATGTGAAATGGGGACTTACTAAATAAGTGTCCACTGAATGAAACTAAGAAACAGTAGTTCTCATGCTCTTATGATAAAGAAGAGCCAGCAAGGTATCTAGGGAGGGAGGCAAAAGGCTTTAAGCAATATTATATAGTAAAAATGGAACCAAAGTGTGCCCCCCCACACACACACACAAAAAAAAGACTAACAAAAACTGTGGAGAAACAAAAGGAGGTCTTCTAAGCCAATATTACTTCATTCCTCCTTGTGCACAGTACATAGTGTTTTAACTCTAGGTATTGTTTGTAAACTAATTGCACTAGTAACTACATGTTGGAGGAAAAAGGTAGTAACTAATGCTACAAACTCCAACACTGGTATTTCCTGAATTCCCTGAAGCTCCTACTATTCTTTGCCATACCTTTTAGATACTGTAAAACCTACAGTGCCATTAATGTGCTTGTATCTCATTTCTTATGGTGCATTTTGGTTTTTCTAATTTTAGACGGTATTGGAGAAAAATACCCAAATATAGATAGAATCAGGTCAATTTCAGCTCAAGTTTGAACAGTTGTACATCCTTTATAGAGAGACCAGCTATGAAAAAGGCACTTTCCTCTCAGATTTGCAAGTGCCCAAAAGCCTTAGAAGCCACAAAACTCTATATTCTACCTAAGTAACAGGTTTCCATGTTTGCCCGTTATTTGAATAAACCAGGAAAAAGTTCAGGGCAAGAGATTTTTCTTACTGATCTCTCAGTATTCTCTTCATATGCCCAAAAAGCCTTGTGGTGGGTATCTATCTGAAATGCCTCAACCACAAAAGGAGACATTTTCCAAAGAGTTATGAATTATTGCAATAAAGAGACATACTAAGTCACCTTAGCAGTATTTATAAACACAAAGGGACATGTCAATTATCTGTGTTGTGGGAAGTCAGCCAGGAGCGAAGTCAGAAAGAAGTTAGAAGACTTAAGCTAAAAGAAAATAATACTCTGTCTTCTATTTCTAAGGACAAGTATCAAATGCACATGCCCTAGTAGGTGCCAATAAGGACCTGACTAATATGTGTGCAAATGCCCTAAGGTGGGAGTGCCAATGGGTGGGCTGACAGTGGTCAAGTCTAGATATTAATTTTATTACACAGAAAAATAAATATAAGATTCAAACACTGAAATTCATGTCACCTGGTAATTAAAAGGAGGGCAAAGTTTCCTAAGAAAAAGGTCACCAAGTAAAATGAAGTTGTCTAATAAAGTCATCATTCTCATATTCCTACTGAGGGAAAGAAGAAATTCTTTTTCTCTGTGATTACATTATTTTCCTAAGTGACTTCTTTTGATTTACAAAAAAAGAAAAAAGAAAAAGGAGGGGAGCAACTTTCCATGATTTTTGATTATACAAATGCCACACACAGCTTCTGAGGCTGAAGCTATGACAATGAACTTCCATGTCACAAAGAGGAGGAGGAGGGAGTGGAAGGGAACAGTGCGGAGGAACACAGTGACATTGAATTACAGTAGGTATTTACGTCTGCTATCCTCATCCAAGGTAAGGTCAACAACTTCTGCAGGTGAAGCCCAGTTCTGCTGGGGAGTCACAGCAGTCCATGACTGTGTCTGCCGGCTGCTAACATACGGTGTGCCCGACCCATGCTTCCATGAAGAAACACTCTGAATCACACCTCCTCGAGGATGGACACACCTACAATTGAGATGAAGAGGAAAAACATGGCTAACCGTACTATAGGAAAGATAAAAGGCAATACAGCTTCACTCGTACTGATCAATACTTTTACTAAGATCAATCTACTATGCAAGTTCATGAAACCTACAACCAATTATCCCTCCCCTTTTCTTCCCTCTCTCCATATCTGTCCGTCTCTCATCTCAGTTTAGCTTTAAAAAAGCCAGAATTTTTATCTCATTCAAAACTCCTGAGTTGCCTGGCTGGCACGGTTCAGTGGTTGAACATCCACCTATCACCCAGGAGTCACAGTTCAATTCCCAGTGAGGGTACATGCCCTGGTTGCAGGCCTGATCCCCAGTGGGGGGGCATGCAAGAGGTAGCTAATCAATGATTCTCTCTCATCATTGATGTTTCTATGTCTCTCTACTTCTCCCTTCTTCTCTGAAAACAAAAAAATATTTTTTTAAAAACTCTTGAATTATGTATAGATCTGTTACTGACAATGGATACTGTATTTCTCTGAACTCATTTAAACCTTTGAATCTTCAGGACAGGGCACCGTATAAATCCAGAACAAAATGAATATGCCCAAATAATCTTGGTTTGAACAAATGAAACAGTAAGAAATATAAGTGAAATTTGTTCTTAAAAATAAGTTCTGTGCCATATTTGGTAATAACACTTTCAAAGACAATAATAGTAATCTCCCTTTAAGGATTAAATTTCTAAAAGTCTGTAAGTACTAGGTCATGCATAGAAGATCAATTTCCCTTGTTCTGAAGGACAACAGAAACACTTGGCTCCTTCATCAGAACTTCCTATGCTTTAGTTCAGTGTAAGTAACAAATACTTTCAGTTTAGATTCTCTAAAAGTACTCCATCAGAGGAACAGAACTGCCTCTTGCTGATGTGCCTCACTAAGAGTTTACTGGAAAAAACTGTTTCAGAAGCACTGACAAATCATTTCACATTCTGGTCAAATGATAGGACTGTGAAGTTCAGTTTAAACCACTGAGTAAGTTTTGATTCAAATGAGAGGAAAGCTCAATTTATCATCATTATTTCACGAAGAAATAGAACACAATTGTTATAAGCCCTATAAAGAAAAATGTGAGAGTCTCAAAAACTAAGTCAACTAACATAAAGCACAGATTTTCATGTATTATCACATATTCTTTTTCTCTACATTATGAAAGGCATGGGGTGAGATCATACTTGGCTATTTTTTAATTGGTCCAATCACAATTCTAGTGCAGATACAGGCTTTCTCAGATCTGCATATGACTGGCAATAGGTATAAAACAGTACCTAGTCTTATAACCAAGAAAATGCTTAGACCTTACTTTTGGTGATGGGGAAAATAACTTTTTGTTGTTAACCCTCACCTAAGGATATTATTTCCATTGATTTTTAAATGAAAGGGGGGGAGGGGGAGAGGGAGGGAGAAAGGTAAGGAGGGGGAGAGAAAAGAGAGAGAGAGAGAGAGAGAGAGAGATTGGTTGCTCCTGACACATGCCCCAATACAGGCATCGAACCTGCTACCCAGGTACGTACCCTTGACAGGGATTCGAATCTGAGACCCTTCAGTATGACAGAAAGATCTGTGCTATAAGGATTTAATTTCCTAGGGCAATTACCAATGAGGCCGGTAGAAGAAAAGGAAAAAGAAACAAGAACCAAGAAAAATATTGGCATCGGGATCATAAACTAAAACTGCTGGCAAAATGAAGTGGCACAGAACTAGAGATGTTGGAAAAGTCTCTCACTGGCAAAGAATATCTTGTGAAAGTGGACTGTCCAACAATAAACATCTGGAAATTACAATATTTAGGTCAGCAGTTCATCACAACAATACAAAGCAGCCATAAAAGATTCATTCAATTATTAGTTCAGAAAGCATGCTTTCTAGTGTATGGCTAGAAGAAACACAGAAGTGAACATATCAAAATCGAAAGTAAAAGAGCAGGAAAGATGTTAACATGCAAGGAAAAAAAGCAATAAAAAAAAATAAAAAAAAGCACATCACAACCAGAATTACTAAGTACAAAGGTCATACAAAATGCTTCCAAATATGGAAAAATGGCACCCAAAGCAATTCAGAACCACCCCAATTCGAAAGAAAACTCAAGGACCAAGTTTGCATTTTTAAAAACCTCTCGGAAAGCCCACAAGGTAGAATATCATAAGAAAAAATAAGAACAAGATGACTAAATCCAAACAAAACATCTGTGCATGCAAAGCAAATTAGAACAAAAAGATGTTGATCAAAACCTAAAACCTTTTTCCAAGCGATAACCCTGCCAGAAGCCCATCAATACTTCATAACTGCAACCCTAGACCTGTAAAAGAAATAAATTCCAGATGAGATACAGGCGGCCACAGGGGCAATTCTGAAGCAACCAGGAAAGCCTCTCCCCCACCTGCTTCTCAGCTACTTAGTAATCTCAATGTTTAAAAGCTTATCAGGCTTCTTTTCTAAAGAAACTGCTGAAATCTTTTCAGAAAGACAGAAGAGTCAGTGAGACTCCACTCTATCTTTAACCAAAGACCAAAACAAAAGACAGCCCCAACACTATCTGTTCACTCTACATCCCACTGTTCGGACAATATAACTACTGAGATTTCAGAATGGAATTGCCACCTCCAAGATATGATTTCCCCAGGATTCAAACCAAAGAGTCAGAATAAAACCTATCTTTACACTTCAGATCCTGTAAGGAAAAGTCCTTGAAAGTAATATTATATAGCATGTAATTTAAAATGTAGCTAAAGTCAGAATAAAAGTGAAACAAACATTATCTATAGAACAAAATGACAATCTGGATAAAAGACCTAACAAGTTTAAAAGAGGGTGTACCAGAGATCATTTGTGTGTATTTTGGAGGTGATGAGGGACTTAGAATTTACATTTAATCCAGATACCAGTAATATTGGTTAAAAAAAAAAAGAGCAAAAATTTTCATAATGGAAGAGAAGTTGAACAAAGGAACTGAAAAGAAAGATGATTCATTCTACAACATTTTAGAGATAAAGAGAGTCAAGAAGGGATACTTGGGAGGAGTTACCAGAGAACTGGACCAAGTGATAAGTCTCAGCAGAATAAGAGATTAGATAAACAACAAAGGTTACTGTCTACTCTTTCCTACTTCAGTAGGAACACATAAATAATAACAGTGAATTAAAATTTGAAATGTAACTCAAGAGGAAGTTGGTGAATGGATAATGTGTTCCTGGCACCAATGAAGATAATTTACCTACATCAATCTGTCAATAGGCAGGGTAAGTTTTATAGGAGGGAGTCTGAAGTAAAAAAAAAAAAAAATACTATAATATTCTAGAAAGATCCTGACATGGAGCTTAAAAAGAAAAAGTCTACTCTATTATAGGATCAATGGTAAAATAAACTAACAGCAGACACATGCTGAAGTAAAGGAATAAATCAGGAATTCTACTTCCTCATCTAATAGATAAATCAGCTTGAAGGGAATAAACAGATAAATAGAAGATAATAGGAAAACAGTTTTAGAACAGGCAGGGGGGAAAAAAGAAAAAATATGAGATAAAGAAAAGATTAAGAATGAAAATTCTTACCCACGACAATAGGGAAAATAACCACTAAGAAAATGAAACAGCTATGCAGGAATATTTATGGCATAAATAAAGATAGAGAATGCTAGTATAATACTAGTTCTAGTAAAAATAACTGGCCCTTTTGAGAGATGGCACTTTAAACTATGACTTAACTCTGTATTCCTAAAGTCTCAATTGTTTACCGGTAACTAAAAAGTGCTCTCAGAGTATAACCAGTTTTCATTAGAAAAAGGCACCCTAAACTTCTGTGCCATGTATACTTTGTCCCACTCTACACTTCTAAATTCACCTTTGATAACAGAAGAAATACTGGTGAATATTTTATTGCTAATTAAAGAGTAAAATCAGATCTAAGGGCAAGACAATGTAGATGTTGAGGAAATCAGAAAACCACAACCTAACTTATAACATCGGAGAAAAGTTGTTTGCTATACAGATTTTCCGAAGTCTAAATTTTTGTATTATATCTACGTGTGTTAAATGTTCCCCAAGAATACCTCTGAGGGCAGCAACCAATTCTTATCGTAAAGCAAAAATCAGTAAATTTTTCTGCAAAGGGCTACATGGTAAATATTTCAGGCTTTTGAGGGTTATAAGGTATCTGCTGAAACTTCTAAATTCTGCCACCAGTGGCAAAAAACACCCATACATAATATGTAAATGAAGAAGCATGGCTCTGTCCCAATAAAACTTAATTCATAAATACATTTTATTTGAATTTCATGAAATTTTCACATGTCACAAAACATTGTTCTTTTGATTTTCCTCCCAACCATCAAGAAAGCCATTCTTAGCTCAAGGTCCGTACAAAAACAGAAAGCAGGCCAGATTTGGCCATTGGGCTAGTTTGCTGACCTCTATTTTAAAAATACCAAACTTCATAAAATATTTTCACAATTGACTGCCTTGTAGCTTTTTTTTTTTTTTTTTACTCTAAGAAACAGAACTCTCTGAGTCACATAAATATCACTAGAAATATCCTGTTGGATACAGACCAAAGTAACTTACAAGTTTTAATGAAAGACAAGGAGAGGTACTCTAAGAAACAAGCAAAAGAGATACTTCATCAGTTTCCTCCAATATATTTCAAGATAAAGTGAAAGGCAAGAAAATATGATTTTGGGAGGGGGGGGGGGGAGAGTACTGTAAGTCCTAAGAGAAAAATCTGTGATGTACTCTAAACAAGAAAAACATCAGTTCTAGTTCACATACACATATGGTCAAGCTGTTCTTGATGAGATAATATGCAACACATTCTGAAGCTCATATCATGTCTAATCAAAAAGTGTTTCTTAAGCCAAAGGAAGCCAAGATAGCTCCCACCATTCATGCCAGCCATACTGTGATGCCTACCATTTTCTTCTCCCTTGATTTCTAGTTAAAATTCACAATTTAAAGTATCAGAATACTCCAAAAAATATCCTACCTTGCATGTTCCTGAACTCCCACAATCTCCACTTCACTATCTGAAGAGGCAATATTAATTTCTTCATTGAGTGGTGCACTGCCAGCAGATGTCTTGTCACTTGCTAGGAACCCTGGATCCAAATGACCTGAGAGAGAAGGGGGGTTAGGGGGAATAAGCACTACATTTTTATTTCTTACAACAGCAGAAAGAACTCAATGACAGACTTCTCATTTAGGTTCAATCACAGAAAGAGAATGGTCTTATGAGTTCTTGCCACAACAAAACGGTTACCCATGTTAAATAAATAAGCAGCTGTGTTCTAGTAAAAAAAAATTTAAACAGACCATACCACACGCTCATAGTTATAAGAGCATTCAAACAACATGGAAATACATAAAAGTAAGAATTCCAAGTCTTACACTCTACTTGTATTCCTTAGGAGAAAAAACTTAAGAGTACTTTGGTGAGTATGTATATAGGTAAATTTCTCTATAATAAAAGCCTAGCCGAAACCGGTTTGGCTCAGTGGTAGAGCGTCGGTCTGTGGACTGAAAGGTCCCAGGTTTGATTCCCGTCAAGGGCATGTACAGTGGTTGCGGGCACATCCCCGGTAGGGGGTGTGCAAGAGGCAGCTGGTCGATGTTTCTCTCTCATCGACATTTCTAGCTCTCTACCTCTCTCCCTTCCTCCTCTCTATAAAATATCAATAATTTTTTTTTTTTCTTAAAGCCTAAGAGACTGTTACTGTGGAACAACCAGAACTGGTCACTATGATGTGCACTGACCACCAGGGGGGAGACGCTTAATGCAGGAGCTGCTCCCTGGTGATCAGTGTGCTCCCACAGGGGGAACACTGCTCAGCCAGAAGCCAGATTCAAGGCTGGCGAGCATAGCTGCGATGGTGGGAGCCTCTCTTGCCTCCATGGTGGTAAGGAGCAGCGAGCAGGCGGGCAGTAAGGAACAAGGGTTCCAGACTACGAGGAGGAGGAGCAGCAAGCAGGTGGGCACACATCCCCTGAGCAGTCCTGGACGGCAAGAGGGTGCAGGCTGGTCTGAGGGATGCCCCACCTCCCAGTGCACAAATTTTGTAGAAATGGGCCTCTAGTAACTATAATAATACTTTATGTTTTGTTCCATAATGCTTTTTGCATTTAACTAGTCTGTCTTTAAATAACCCACATAACAATTCTGCCACTACCTAGAGGGCAATGGAGCTCTCTGCTACTTATCATTTCAATAGAACAAAATTCCACCAAAAAAGTTCAAATGCATAAATGGAATAAATACTTTTCTCTAAATTTTAAACAAATTTAACTATTTTCTCTAAAGGAATGCAGATGTGAAAAAAATCTAGCCCCAAACCACATATAAAAATGAAGACCACAATTTTTGCTCTGAGCAACTGAAACATAACCTGTATGGTGTTGACAGTTCTCATTAAACAGACACAAACCACACAACTCCGGGAAAAACAACTGTTGTGGCACTGGGGCACACAAGGATTATTTCACAAGGGTCTTAATAAACTTCTATTACACAGTGAAATAAAAAACAATCTCCAACATCACAGAATTCTCTCTCAAGAAAAGCTAATGACATAGCATTAAAGTACGTAGCTCTATAAAAAATTCTAGCAAGTTAAAATTCAGCATATTTCCCATGTCTTGAATATTCTGACATAAAAGGATGAATTTTAGAATATCTAGGAGCTAATATGAATAAGCAGTTACAACAGGTACAAATTTGCATTTACTCTTGAAAGGGATTTTTATTTAAATACTAGAGGGCCGGTGCACAGTTTCATGCATGAGTGAGGTCCCTCAGCCTGGCCTGCAGGAAATGGGGCCATAACTGGCTCTCCAACATCTCTCAAAGGGTCCCGGATTGTGAAAGGGTGCAGGCCAAGCTAAAGGACCCCACCGGTGCATGAGTGGGCAGGGAAGGGACCACGGGAGGGCTCCAGGGTGTTTCCGGTCCATCTTGCCCAGTCCCGATTGGCTGGACCCCCAGCAGCACCCAGCAGCAAACTAACTTATCACTCCCCTTCTCTCTCAGCTGCTACTGGTTGGAGCATCTGCCCCTTGGTGGTCAGTGTGCATCATAGCAACTGGTCGAATGGTTTAACAGTTAGACCCTTATCATATTAAGCTTTTATTATACAGGATATTGTCACCTAATACTGAATTATTTTCTCCATATTTAAAAAAAAATCTTTTGTGACACCTTATATAAATTAAACTAGTAAGGTTTACACAAATACAACTCTCCCTTCCCCTCATCTCATTTCAATTTTTCAAGGTCACTGAGAAACCTTGTACTTTCATACTCCTGCAAATGATTTTTTCTTTTTAAAGTTATAGGTGGTCCCAAAGCAAAAACTTCATTTTTATACCCTTTGACTCTGTAATCCCACCCATGAAAATTCAGCCTAATGAAAAAAACTTTAAACAAAATGTTATGATGTCCAAAGATAAACACTACAGTGCTATGTAAAAACCTGGGGAAATGTATGAATATGTAAGTATCACACATAATGCTATAAAGATATGTAGGTTCTGGATAAAAGCTGTGAAAAGTAATCAAGTTTGAATATAATTGTGGGTCTTTTTTTTTTCTTTTTTTTTTTTTTACAATTCTTTAGTATTTTTTCTATGAAAAGGATGGATAAATGAGAAAACAGACTAAAAAGCTTAAATCAGCTTCTAGATACAACTGGTGATTGAAGTATCATAGTATAGATAGGATTCTATCAGTGGCAGTGAGTACTCATCTTTGAATCTTATGAACTTATAAGAGATGGCATTCACCAGACAAAACCCAGTTTTGTTAAAGTTAGGGTAGCTGCTTAAATAGAGTTTTTGGTTAAATCTAGGTTTGGTAAACCTCGATTCTTGCTCTGACTCTAATATTTTTGCTTGTAGCCAAGACTTTTATCCAATTTCTACTTCAGTGTTGTAGTTATCACTATTGTCATGTATGTTGTTACTGTTTCCTAAACGTATCCAGTGCAAGAGTTAGCTGGGGGTGATTATTAAAAACAGATCCCCAGACTCCATTTCAGATCTACTTACAAAATATTTGGGGAGAAACCCTAGGAGTGAACTTTTACCTCCTTATTCGGTCTACAGCAATTTTAGAAAGGACTACAAATTGGCAAGTCTCTCTTTTTTCAATTATTTTGAGCAGCTTTGCTTTGTGCAACTATAAGTTTATTTCATCGATTTGTTCTTCAATAAGTACTTGTTTATAACATGTTATGCACTGTGTTAAGTGCTAATAATACTATGGGGAACAAGAGAAGTGTACTCTCTACCCTCAACAAGCTTACACTATATCTGGGGATAATAAAAAAAAATAGTCCATTGCCAGGTGGCTTGAAAACTTCTCTGAAAAGGAGGTAGAGAGTCCCTGGAAACAAATAGAAAAGGAACATTTCCCAGACTAGAGGATAATCAAGGAAACTGAACTCTCAGGGAGGAGTAAGCTCAAGTAAGAAGTGGCAGCATAAGAAACACTATATTATCCTTTAGGGTATAAAAGTTTGCTGGGATCAGCCAGTTTGGCTCAGTGGTTGAGAATCAACCTAAGAACCAGGAGGTCATGGCTCAATTCCAGGTCAGAACATATGCCTGGATTGTGGACTTGGTCCCCAATACAGGGCATAAAGGAGGCAGCCGATCAATGAGTCTCTCTCATCATTGATGTTTCTCTCTCTCTCTCACTCTCTTCCTCTCCCTCTTCCTTCTTCTATGAAATAAATAATGAAATAAAAATCAATGCAAGACAAAATACAGCACATGAGGTTAAATTAGAGTGGGCTAAATACAAATTTCCTGTTGAATGTTAACTCTAGACTAATGGTGTGAGAGTTTTGCCATGTTTTCTGTCAGAGCCATTAGATAAAGTATGCTATTCACAGATAACAAGTCAGCTGGGATCCACATCAAGTCTGTGGGATGCCATGCTCTTCAAGAGACACCAAGGCATTCTCCAATAGCCAAGAATGAATTCCCCATTCTGTCTATTTCAGACCCAAGGCAATTAGTCCTAGCATGCCACATTCCTTTGAGAGCTCCTGTGCAGAGCCTGACATTTTCTAGCCTTTGGTCCATTCCCCACTGCCTCCCCAACCCATGCCCTCACAGGAATCCAATGGCAGAACACTGCCTAAAGAATACACAAAGATGATATGAGGTTCTTTAAATACTGTTAGTGGTTATGATCTATTCCCATTCAGGACAAGAATAAGCCCTGTAGAAAAAGTGTAAATAGAATAGCACTATTACCATATGTTAAACTGAACATTTTTTGTCCTCCCACTACAGACATTTTCAACACTTAAGTCAGAAAGAAGCAATAGAAAAAGTGATAACTAAATTATCATGGGAAATATTTCTTTTGCCTTCAAAAGAAATAATGTACCAAGCTACTTTTTATTTTTAAATTGGTATCAGAGAGAGGAAGGGAAAAGGAGAAACAAATCCATGTGAGAAAGAAACATTGATCGGTTGCCTCTGGCATGCACCTTGACCAGGGATCGAACTCACAACCTGGGTATATGCCCTGATCAGGAATGAAACCCACCACCTATTGGTGTACGGGATGGTGCTGCAATCAACTGAGTCACCGGGGCCAGGGCTGTAGCTACTTTTTAAATCACTAGTTTTAAGAACTAGTCCTGGACCTCTTTGTAGCGCTTAAAGGAAATATTACATACTGGATGGCAACAACATGTTAGCTATAAAATATCAATAGGTTAATATCTTAAGGTGCTACTCATTTAGCTTTAAAACAAACAAATTATTAGCTTGTGTTTAGTTTGCTCAAGAATATTAAAAACTTTAAAAAGGGAAAGGCTTGCCGGGACCGGTTTGGCTCAATGGATAGAGCGTCGGCTTGGGGACTGAAGGGACCCGGGTTTGATTCCGGTCAAGGGCATGTACCTTGGTTGCGGGCATATCCCCAGTAGGGGGTGTGCAAGAGGCAGCTGATCGATGACTCTCTCTCATCGATGTTTCTAACTATCTCCCTCCCTTCCTCTCTGTATAAAATCAATAAAAAATATATTTTTTAAAAAAAGGGAAAGGCTAGAAAATAAAATCTTAATTATCCATATAAAGCTTGTAAACATGAGGAACCTGACCAAACTTGACCTCCTTCACAAGACTGATATATTGACTTTAAAGTGCTAATAATAGAAACATGGCCATTCTGGTCTGATTATAAAAAGCCCTACACTAAGGACAGGAACCCCAAGATTTGTTTCTCTGCACTACAACAAAGCATGCATAATGGACAAATCAAGATTACTATTCCTATTTTAAAAGTAAGAAAATGTTCAATGCTTACCTTCTTAATAAGAAGGCTGATTGGGGGGAGGGGAAGATGGAGATGGAGAGAAAGGAAGATATGCTCACAACTGCCTTCCTGATTGCCCCTAACCGCTTCTGCCTGCCAGCTTGATCAACCCCTAATCACTCCCATGCTTTACATAGTTCAGAATTTTTAATTTCCTGGGGGTAAAAACTCTAAATAAATTTAGTTTACCATAACTATAAGTCTTCCAAACCACAAGAACTTTAGATTTATTCTTCTCTTAGCCTCATCTATAGATGTTTACAGTGTTTACTAGCAATAAACAAAAAAATTAGCTATGTTGTTACTGTTTCCTAAACGTATCCAGTGCAAGAGTTAGCTGGGGGTGATTATTAAAAACAGATTCCCAGACACCATTTCAGATTTACTTACAAAATATTTGGGGAGAAACCCTAGGAGTGAACTTTTAAAAACACCCCACGTAATTTCTATACTCAACGTTTAGGAAATAGTGTAACAAGAGCAACTTTTTGCAAGGACAGGGCATAAATTAGCAATCCATTAATTGGGTCCATTAATTACCTCCTTATTCGGTCTATTTGAGCATAAATACATTAACATTGTGCTGGTTAGCACTCCTTTGGGCCTACTGTGTGCTGTTCTAAGTACATTATATATGTTATTTCACATTAATGGTAACTAACCTTTAGGTGTGGATACTAGTTTTATAAATTGGGAAATTGAGGCTTTATATAAGTTACCAGAGGTCCCCATAATTTTTAAGTGGCTGCTGGTTCAAAACCAGGATGTTTTGTTGCCACCTCCTACATACTTCAATTCTAGCATCAAGTAAGAAAAAGTAAACACAAGACAACAGTTGAAATGAAAAGTTTAAGTCTTTTATTGACCAGGGGACTTTTCTAATTTCAACTCTTTTTGCCTTGGTTGAAGTTTTAAATAAATAGTAAAAACTACTTTGCATATAAGGACATGCTTGGAAAAAGAGAAAAACTACTCTATCTCCAATGATTACTTATGTGATCCTAAATGGAGTAAGGCTGCTGACCTGATCTGAGATGCTGCTATTAATTAACCCCTGACTGGTCTGTTCAGTGGCTGGGTTTTTATTTTGTGGGGAGAGAAGATTAACCTTTAGAACATTTATCTTAAATTCAAACCACAAAAATGACCATCCAATTGATACTAATAGTTCAAGTCTCTAAACTATAAATTGGCCATTAAGGATAAATTCTTTAACATTTACACATTTTAAGTGCATTCAAATTCACAAAATTGAGTTTCTTCAATAACAATTACATTAAACCTCAAGTGTATTGGTTTGTTTTATTACTCACATACCTGCATTGCTATATATATATTTTTTTTGGGGGGGGGGGGGAGACTTTGAATAAGTCAATAAATGGCTTCATAAGAAAATGTCATGAGAATCTTTTGAACAGTGATGACCACGTCCTATGATGTACAAAAATCTACACATAGTTTAGGGCCTGATATAAGCATATGTTTTTATCCTAGAGAAATCATCACACACATGTACCAAGAGACACACATAAGAAATGTTGGTGGCAGTATCATTTGGAATAGAACCTTAAATGTCCAATAAGAAAATGGGTATGTCAATTGTGATATAATCATCCAGTGGAATACTAAGTATCAGTAAAAATGAATGAACTAGAGCCATATTTATTACCAAGAACAAAGGTGATAAAGGTTCAACTAAAAAAGCAATTTGCAAGTGATTATCTTCAATATAATATCAATTAGTATTAAAACATGCTTGTTTACAGACATGTAACAAATGCAATAAAAACATAAAATAATACAGAGTAATAGCAAACACCAAGTACCAAATTCATGACAGCTTTGGAGTAGGAAGGGGAAAAATAAGGTAAATAAAGTTGAAGCCATGGGTATTTTTGCCATGTTTTATTTCTTAAGATCAGTGGTAGGCACCTGCATGGTACTATTTTTATAACTTTGTGTGACTAAAATTCAAAAAGATAATCAAATATAGAATTAAGTACATAAAGACTAATGTTTTGAACAGTCAAGCTAACAATTACTTGAATCTGAAAATGTGATGCTATCTCCAAAGCTGGTAACTCTAATGATATAAGACCCCAAACTTTGTACTATTAGTCTGAATCATAAGAAACTACTGGGATTGTTGTAGGTCAAAAGTCAAATATTAACAATTTAGGTCAAATTAATATAGACAGTCCTGGGGTTACGTCGGACTCGACGTACGCCGCCATCTCCCATCCTAATAAAAGAGTAATATGCAGATTGACCATCACTCCAACACACAATATGGCTGCCCCCGTGTGATCAAAGATCCTGCCCCTATGTGAACAAAAGATGGCCAGCAGGGAAGGGCAGTTGGGAGGGACCAGGCCTGCAAGGGAGGGTAGTTGAAGGTCATCAACTCTACAAGAGAGGGCAGTTGGAGGTTATCAACCCTGCAGGGAGGGCAGTTAGGGGTGACCAGGCTGGCAGAGGACGGAAGTTGGGGGCAAACGGGCTGGCAGGGGAGCAGTTAGACATCAATCAGGCTGGCATGGGAGTGATTAAGCTGGCAGGCAGAAGTGGTTAGGGGCAACCGGGAAGGCAGGCAGGCAGGCGAGCAGTTGGGAGCCAGCAGTCCTGGATTGTGAAGGGATGTCAGACTGACCATTTAGGCCCAATGCCAGTGGGATCAGGCCTAAACAGGCAGTTGGACATCCCTCGAGGGGTCCCAGATTGGAGAGGGTGCAGGCTGGGCTGAGGGACAACCCTCCCACTTGCCTCCATGCACAAATTTCATGCACCATTCCTCTAGTTTATTTATAAATAAATAAATGTTTAAAAAAAAAGTTCTGTCATTCTGATGTATGTACATATATGCTTTATGTTTTTTATTATTTATTTACCACAAGTAAAGGTCAGGAATTGTTATCTTTCTTTTAAATTTTTTACTGTTTCACTTCATTACTGCTGTGTATGTGCTCCATGTGAGTGACATAGGTGGGTTCTGACTTACAGCAAAAATTGCATTACGTCCCATGTAACCTGAGGACCTACTGTATTAAAATTCTCTAAATGAAAAGAAAAAGTAATTATTCGTGTTTTTCTCGAGTATTTACAATAAAATGGTCTGCTTACTGGCAAACTAAGAAAACAGAGAAATACTACTAAAACTGAAGCAGAATGAACCATTTAATTGTCAATGGATGAAAAATGAAGATAAACTACCCAGTACACAGAACAAATTATAAAATTTAGGAACACATATTGCAGAAAATGTCAAACTACTCTTCTTTGATATAAAAGTATTACTACTTAATTCTTTTTAAAGTACTTATACATATTAATAAATCCCTAAAAGACCCTTTTATGCAAAGCAAGTATTTGACATCCAGAAGAGAAATAGCTTGTCTAAGGTCAAAAAGGCAGTTAGCAGCCAAAACATAGTTAAAATTAATTCCAGGTCCTGCTCTGCTCCAAAATTGGTCAAAATAAATTAATTAGAAGGTCAATAACAAGAGATTTTTATTTGCTTCCACCAAAAAGTATGAAAGGAAGAATTAAGGACAATGATCTGTGGAGTTTTGTCTTTTTTATTTCCTAACAATTTAAATATAAAAGTTCTGAACTAAAATCCATTATTTGTGTAATACAAAACTTGTTTCCCATAAACATTTTTAGGAAGTGATTAAGTTACTAGATTCGCCCATAAAAGCCAAAGCAATTCATAATTTAAATAGAAAATTATCTTTCTATAACATGAAAAGAAAATACACTACATAAAGTCTGTCAACAGCTTTCTCCTCCTTTCTTAAACTTAAGTGCTAGTACTTTTGGGGGGAGGGAGGCTTACATGAGAATATTGAAAGAGTTTTGAGAACCATATTTAAGGAAACTTGGAGGCACCTGTGCAAGGTTTCAAAAGTAATAGCAATGGGTTTTTTAGTGAATAAATATCACTCTTAAGAATCATCACAGAACCAAGATGAATAACGCAAGACAAGGAAAGAAATTTTTCCAAGATAACAGAGGCAGAAACTGAAGGAAAAGGATTAGAAAAGACAAATATGAAAACTACTATAGAGGAAATAACAGGGGCACTTCACACCCAGAGGTGGAAGAAGCAGTGCAGCGCTATACAGGAACAGCCCCACAGGGCAAGTACGAACAGGCCCCCTCCCCCAAGCTTCAAGACTGCTGTGCAGCTAAGTGAGGAAAACCATTGAGAAGTGGGGATGGAATGAGAAAGTATTAGGTCATCTGGGTTGTTTTTACATGTCAGGTATTTTTAACTCAAGAAATATGCATACTAAAATCTATTTATGCCTACAATTAATGTCTTATATATTGTCATGTTTGCTTTAGATGAATGACATATTACCCAAATCTCCTTTACAGACAGTTATAAATGGTACCCTGGATGCCTCTGGTTAGCCTGCACACCTCAGCAGGGCCCACTATGACAAACAGCTGCCAGGACACATGCACATTACATTAGTATTAGAGAAGGGGAAGGGGAGGGAGACCAACCTGCCTCCGCATTCAGCTCCTCTAGAAGCCCGCAGGTCCTCCAGGTAGCTCCTGTGTCCTGGCCTCCTACAGAATTACTGTGCTCTTGAACTACTGCAGCCGCCAATAAAGTGTCCACATTTACCACTTCTGGGTCAGAGCTGGTGTCAGACATATCATAATAAGCTATAACTGGAGGTCCATCTAGGGAGGAAAGAAAATGTATACTTGTATCTAACTTGTGGGGTGAAAATACTTCTGAAACTAAGAGCCCTCTAAATGCCAGTTACCTTTATCTTATTATTCGAGCTAATCAGAAAAGCTAATATTTACATCTAATATTTTGTACTTGATGTGAAAGTGAAAAAGATAACCCAAGCTTACAAAGATAAGGGACACATTAGGGAAGGAGGAAAAGGTGTGTTATGAAGAACAGAAGACAAGACTATACTGAACAATGTTACACTGAACTGACATCATACTCTTAAAGAGCAAAAGATTAAGAAAAAAGACTCCACAGAGAAAGTGAAACTGAGATTAAAGGAAAAAACAAATGCAAACTATTAAAACTCAATTTGTATTTTTAAGAGAAATGAATCTAGTTCTCTTAGTAGCTAATACTAAAACTCCCCAGTAGAATCAAAGAAAATCGAATATGTATTTTTCTACTCTCTAAAGAAATAAGATTAACACTAAGAGCTCTATCTGACTGACTTATTTCCAGGGAAGCCCTTTAAAGTATCAGGAATGCTATACATTTTACAACATTCTACAAAAAGACATCACAAAACCCATCTTCAGAATTTTGCTTTGGATGTCTTGTGAGGGATATTTATATTTTCTTTTCCCTAAGACAAGCAATTCACACCCCAAGGAAAAGATAATCAATCTTACAGATTATTTCAGAGGAAGATATTCAAGTTCTTACCAGAAAAATAAGAGAGCCCTTCTACCTCCAAATCACCCTAACTAGCTAAAAAAAAAAAAAAAGCAGCTCAGTTACAAAGTAGTTACACTTCAGTAATTCATGCTAAAATAACTCAATATTCATGCTTGTATAATAGATGCATGCTTTAAAAATGCTAGTTTCCCTTTTTCTAACATAACAGCAAAAAGCTTTCAATCAAGAATGAAATACATCCCTTTCTACTACCTCTAATTTAGAAGAAAGCAGAAATAACAGAATGCTCTTTCTCCCAACAACTATCTATGAAGTGCAGGCAAGTAATTTATTTCCATAAAGATTTTTTAATATCATCCAACAAATTAGCATTAAATACACCTATTTTATAATACAAAAATCCATTGTGTAAACTGTCACTGAACAAAACACAGAACACACTTCGGGTATTTATCCTTAAAACTAAGTTCCTACACCATTGGTTTATGTAGCAACATTAAAAAACAACAATTACACATGACCAAACATAAATGCAAATGAGTAAAGTGTCACTGTAAAAGGAACAGACATGTCACAATATGAAATTCTGACGATCATTAACAGTTTGTTCACTACTTAAAAATAATTTCTAATTCTCCCAAAAGAGTAAATTAAGTTCATAAAATTGAAGTGTGACCTCAGTATCAGTTGGCAATGGATTTTAGTTCAAATATCAATAGCAAAAAAGTTGGCTCATGTTTGAGGTTTTTCTTTTCTAATAAATAAAAGTGGTTATCATTTATGGAGTTCTCGTCAGAGTTCAAAATGACTATGGAATAAAGATGCTATGTAATGTCCAAATGCTTGAGTGCAGAAGATATGAAGGTCAAGTACAATAATGACTATTTGACCAAATGTTCTATTTTTAAAAGGATTTTATTTTTTAAGTGTTTTGTGTTGACAAAAAATAGTTGTTTATGTTAAAATTTATATCACTAATACCAATCAGAACTACTTGCCCCACATCCCCCACCACAATAATCAAATTGAGGCAACAGGTCAACAGTCAAGTCAAAATTGTACCACTCCTACATGTATAATCATGCAAAAAAGTATTAAGTATATATGTACATGCAGAGTGATATCACCTACCCAAGGAAATAACTTGTCTGAAAGTCTTCATCAGTAGGAAATACAAGCATAAACTTGTTATCTGGCTTCATTCTTGCATCTTCCATATTTCCAAACAGCACACCTTATAGCTTAGCTTAAATTTAGTATTCATCACAAACAAAGACAGTAATGTTTTCATATTTTAATTGCACTTAACAGTTAAAACAGATGATTATCACTGTCATTTTTCTCATTTCCAGGATATTCAAATTATGACAAGTCAATACTATACAAACTTCAAAAAAAGTAAAGGAATAGTTGCCTTTGAGACTTTGGTCTTTCAACAGAAAACCACAATTAAAAATCCTGTGTTCCAAGGTCATCTTACACTTATCAATAGCAAATCAAGATTAACTAAGAGATGTTTGATGCACTTAGCAGCAGGGTTTGGACATTAAAGCACTAAATAAATATTAGTTAATTGATGGTGACAGTTTATAATAATCTTTTAAAAAATGACTCTTGCTGCACAGAATTAAGAAACTGGAAAGATCCTATAGGGAAATCATTTGCCTTTTAAAAGAACAAATCAAAGCACCGAGAAGCTAGGAAAACTCAGCCTAGTATCAGAAGCAGTGATCTATACTTCCAATATGATGCTTATCAATTCATTACAGGATGAAATAAACATGGAGATACTGTCCTTCCTCTCACTTGATTACTGCTCTATACTATTAAAACAACAGCACTGCTACTAAAATTTTGACTTTCAGAAACATCAAAATAGTCCTTCAACATGGAAACATTTCCGATTTCAAGTTATCATTAATGTAAGTACATTCCATGTTATTCAGACTCCACATTCTCCTATCTGCTAACTCTGTCACAACCTGAAAACAAAAATTTACAATAATGAACTCACTAGTTTTTCTACAATCATTAAAAGCATCTCTCTATAAGAGTAAATTTAACACCATCAGTTAAAAATTATTTGGTCTGTGGTTAACCCAAGTCCTATTTTTCTTACTACTGATAGTTTGAAATTCTGCTGCTCGTTAACAATTACAAGGTAAGAAAAATTAAAGGCTGAGCAATCCTCTGGCTACTTGTTTTATTTAAAAACATCAACTCATCCATTTTATGCTAGAAATAGGTTTGAACCCTCTTGCTGACCTCCTAGCCTATAAATAGGTTCTAACTTTCCAAATGCCAAAATGCAGATGTATCTGTGTCACCACACATTCCTAACACAGTGAGATTTACCCTTTTATGACCTTAAACCTCCTTTACTATTATCATCAAATATTTAATTTTATGAATTAGTTTTCTTTCAAATATGTTCTTCTTAATCTCATGAAAACAATTTGAATCACAAAAACAAAGCAAAATAAAACCTATTATCCTTTATTATATTTATCCCCTACAACCCCTCCCCCTTTTCAAATTTAACAATCAAAAGCACAAATTTAAATCTATACAAGGTAATTACATAATTTACCACTCATTTTACAGATGAGAAATTTGAATCCTAGCGAAGTGGAAACAGAAGAGATTACAGTTCTCCTCGTCAAGGGAACGAGAAATATACAAGATGAGAATGGGAGCAGCATATAAGTACAACCAGACTTTTGGCAGCGAACACGTAAGTTGAAGTCCTGCCTAGTACTTCCTAGCTATATGACTCAGTTTCTTCACAGGGTTATGGTGAGGGTTAAAGAAGATATAACACAGAAAGCGTTATGAGTTCAAAATAGGAGTTCAAATTCGGTCTGTTGCCCAACCTTTCCATTATAATTAGCACTTACTCTAATTCATTATTTGCTTATCTTTGCATGTAAACTCTGCTATCCAAGGCATTCAAGCTAGAAAGCTTTGAGAGCTGTACTGCATGGGCTAGTGTCTTACAGACTAGAGGCCCAATGCACGAAATTCGTGCACAGGTAGGGTCCCTAGGCCTGGCTGGAGATCGGAGCCAATCTGTAGGGTGACTGGTGGGCGGTTGGGGGCCCCTGGTTGACAACCACTGTGGCTGGTCTGGCGCCACCAATTCGCTGACCTGGTCCCCCACTGCCACCACCAGTTGCCTCCCTCGGCATCACCCCCCAATCATCCCGCCACTACTGCTAGTTGCCTCCCTCTGTGGGGTGACTGGTGGGGGGGAGGGGGGCCCTCCACTGGAACCCACCTTGGCTGGCCTGGAGCCTGTGGGAAGCTCCTGTGTTGAGCATCTGCCCTCTCGTGATCAGGGCAAGTCATAGCAACTGGTCGTTCCACCGTTCAGTCAATTTGCATATTAGGCTTTTATTATATAGGATTAAACCAACTTGTTAAGAAAATGCTTTGCTGAAATTAATGGGATCATCACAAATGTGACTTTCCTATTTTTACTTGTTTCAAGTGAAATGTCAGCTTGGATGTATTCATATAAAAGTATTTCAAAACCAACTACAACTTAATTTGGATTATTTCATATTTAGCATCATCCTTGCCTACATAGCCCTTGCACTAACATGAGTGTTGTCAGTCTCCCAGTATGAAGTCTAATTAGTTCTAGGAAACAGGACTTACTCTAGTATCCCTGAGGTACTTGAAAATTAGGCCCAAGAAAAGGTGGGATAATGAACCAATACATAGCTTCCCTCTACAACTTCCATTTCTATGGCTACAGTAACATACAATGAAGCCCAAAGAAAATTCTTTCTCTCCTCCCAACTACAGTCAACCTCACAAAACCCCTCACTGGAAGAGGAAAGATCTATCTTGTTACTGCTAAAGGACACCATATAGGCTCTGCAGCCAGTCACCAAAGGGCCTGCGCACAGTACCATTCTCTACTACAACATCAAGAGAAGGGGAAGGAGGTAGAAATCACACTCTATCTACTGAGATTTTTAAAAGTTACAACTGGCCCTAGCTGGTTTGGCTCAGTGAATAGAGCATCAGCCTAAGGACTGAATAGTCCCAGGTTTGATTTCAGTCAAGGGCATATGCCTGGGTTGTAGGCTCATCCCCAGTGGGGGGTGTGCAGGAGGCAGCCAATCAATGATTCTCTCTCATCATTGATGTTTCTCTTTCTCTTTCTCCCTTCCTCTCTGAAATCAATAAAAATATATATTTTGTTTAAATGCACTTTAAAAAAAGGTTACATCTGAAAGAGGAGTTCTCAGCAGAAGAACCTCAAGAGTTGCAGAAGGGAATCTGCATTTTAGGA